CAATTTTCCAAAATTGTGATGGATATTTTCAAGATTTTTTAATAATCCTACTTTTCAAATCAAATATTTTTACATTTTTCGAATGAGCACGTCTATATGCCAGAATTATTTGTGGATTTTTAGACAACTTTTCCAAAAGTTCAAATTTTCTATTCCCTATAAAAATTTAGATTTTTTTTCGACCATATTGGAAAGCTAACTAAGAGATTTTTTTTAGATTTCAACCTCCAAAAGTTACTTTCAGCCTAATTTTTTCGAAAACTCCTCCCATTTTTCCAAAATCGATCGATGAAATATGGAAAATCTAGGATTATTAAATATGTTATATTTCAAGCTGAATATTTCGTAAATATTGCTCCTGGAACGTAAACACACTGCACCATAATCCTAAAATCCTCAGAACACCATCATCTTGAAACCTTCAGAACCCCATAATACTCAAATCCTCAGAACACAACAATCATCAAATCTTCAGAACACCATTATCCTCAAATCTACAGAACACCATAATCGTCAAATCCTCAGCACAACATAATCCTCAAATCCTCAGAACACAAGAATCCTCATATTCTAAGAACACCAGAATCCTCAAATGTTCACAACACCATGATCCTCAAATCCTCAGAACACCATAATTCTCAAACTTTTAGAACATCATAATCCTCAAATCCCCAGAACATCACAATCCTCAAATCCTCAGAACACCATAATCCCCAAATCCTCAGAAGACAATGACACTCAAATCATTAGAACACCACAATCCTCGAATCCTGATAACACCATAATCCTGAAATCCACAGAACACCACAATCCTTAAATTCTTATAACAACATAATACTTAAATCCTTAGAACACCATAATCCTCAAATCTACAGAACAACATAATCGTCAAATCTACAACACAACATCATCTTCAGATCCTCAGAACACCATAATCCTCAAATCCTCAGAGCATCAAAATCCTCAAATTCTTTAAACATCAAAATCCTCAAATCCTAAGAACACCATAATCGTCAAATCCTCAGCATAACATAATCCTCAAATCCTCAGAACACAAGAATCGTCATATTCTAAGAACACCAGAATCCTCAAATGTTCACAGCACCATGATCCTCAAATCCTCAGAACACCATAATTCTCAAAATTTTAGAACATCATAATCCACAAATCCTCAGAACATCACAATCCTCAAATTCTCAGAACACCATAATCCCCAAATCCTCAGAAGACAATGACAGTCAAATCATTAGAACACCACAATCCTCGAATCCTGAGAACACCATAATCCTGAAATCCACAGAACACCACAATCCTTAAATTCTTATAACAACATAATACTTAAATCCTTAGAACACCATAATCCTCAAACCTTCAGAACACAATAATACTCAAATCCTTAGAACACCACAATCATTAGATATTCAGAACACCATAAGCCTCAAATCTACAGAACAACATAATCGTCAAATCCACAACACAACATCATCCTCAGATCCTTAGAACACCATAATCCTCAAATCATCAGAGCATCAAAATCCTCAAATCCTTTAAACATCAAAATCCTCAAATCCTAAGAACACCAGAATCCTCAAATTTTCAGAAGCACCAAAATCCTCACCTCCTCAGAACACCATAATCCTCAAATCCTCAGAGAATCAAAATCCTCAAATCCTTAGAACACCAGAATTCTCAAATCCTAAAAACACCAGAATCTTCAAATCTTCAGAACACCATAATACTCAAATCATTAGAAAACCATAATTCTCTAATCTTTAATATATCATAATCTTCAAATCCCCAGAATATCAGAATCCTCGAATCCTAAGAACACCAGAATTCTCTAATCTTCAGAACATCATAATCCTGAAATCATCAGAAAACCCTAATTCTCTAATCTTTGGAATATCAGAATCTTCAAATCCCCAAAATATCACAATCCTCAAATCCTCAGAACACTATAATCCTCAAAACCCCAAAACACCATAATCCTCAAATCATTGGAACACCACAATCCTCTGATCCTGCGAACACCGTTAACCTTCAATCCACAGAACACTAGAATCCTTAAATCCTCATAACACTATAGTACTCAAATCATCAGGGCACCATAATCCTCAAATCATCAGAACATCATTATCCTCAAATCCTCAGAATAACATGATCCTCAAATTCTCTGGACACATAATACTTAAATTCCCGGGACACCAAAATTATTCCTCAAAACACCATAATCCTCAAATCCTCAGTACATCAAAATCCTCAGATCTTCAAAATACCATAATCCTCAAATCCTCAGAGCATCAAAATCCTCAAATCGTCAGAACACCAGAATACTCAAATACTTAGAACTCCATAAAACTCAAACCTTCAGTTCACTATAATCTTCAAACCCTCAAAACACCATAATCCTCAAATTCTCCGAACATGACAATCTTCAAACCCTCAGAACACCGTAATCCTGAAATCCACAGGACACGATATTCCCCAGACCCTGAAAACATACCAATCCTCAAATCCTCAGAACACCATAATCCTCAAACACTCAGATCACCAGAATCCTCAAATATTCAGAACTCCATACTCCTCAAATCCTTAGAACACCATAACTCCCAAACCTTTAGTACACCACAATTCTCAAATCCTTAGAACACCAGAATCCTCAAATTCACAGGACACCATAATCCTGAAATCCTCAAAGCATCAAAATCCTCAAAAGTTAAGAACACCAGAATCCTCAAATCTTCAGAACACCATAATCCTCAAATCATTGGAACACCACGATACTCGAATTCTGAGAACACCATAATTCTCAAATCCATAGAACACTACAATCCTTAAATCCTCATAACACCATAATCATGGCACCATAAGCCTCAAATCCTCAGAACACCAAAATCCTCAATTTTCAGAGCACTAGAATCCTCAAATCCTCAGAGCATCAGTATCCTCAAAGCCTCAGAACACCAGAATACTCAGATCCTCAAACCTTCAGTTCACTATAATCCTCAAATCCTCAAAACACCATAATCCTCAAATCCTCAAAACGCCACATTCCTCATATCCTCAGAGCACCATAATCCTGAAATCCACAAGACACCATAATCCCCAGATCCTCAAGACATCGCAATCCTCAAATCCTCAGTACACCATAATCCTCAAATACTCAGAACACCAAAATCCTCAATTCATTAGAATATCACAATCCTTGAATCCTGAGAACACCATAATTCTCAAATCCACAGAACACTACAATTCTTAAATCCTCAAAACACCATAACCCCCAAATTTTCAAATCCTCAGAACACCATAATCCTCAAATCATTAGAACACCGCAATCCTCGAATCCTCAGAACACCATAATTCTCAAATCCACAGAACACTATATTCCTCAAATCCTAAGAACACCAAAATCCTAACATCTTCAGAGCACCACAGTCCTCAAATTCTCATAATACAAAAATCCTCAACACCTCAATACACCAAGATCCTCAAATCCTCAGAACACCAGAATCCTCAAATCCTCAAAACACCATAATTCTCAAATAATTAGAACACCGCAATCCTCGAATCCTGAGAACACCATAATCCTCAAATCCACAGAACACCATAATCCTCAAATCCTCAGAACACCATAATCCTCAAATAATTAGAACACCGCAATCCTCGAATCCTGAGAACACCATATCCTCAAATCTACAGAACACAATATTCCTCAAATCCTCAGAACACCAGAATCCTCAAATCCTCAAAAAACCCTAATCCTCAAATCCTCAGAACACCAAAATTCTCGGGTCTTCAGAGCACCACAGTCCTCAAATCCTCATAACACAAGAATCCTCAAATCCTCAATACACCAAGATCCTCAAATCCTCAGAACTTCGTAGTACTCAAATCCTCAGAGCACCACAATTTGAGGTTAAAAAAGAATTAAATCTTGCTCCTGGACCGTAAATACATTATGTTTTTCAGTCCCAAAATTGTTTGTGGATTTTTTAACAACTTTCCAAAAACTCAATTTTTCAATTTACGAAAATTTCGAATTTTTTCAACTACCTTCGAAAATTATCTTGAAATTTTTTGTACATTTCAACATTCAGAAGTTACTTTTGGCCTTATTTCTTTGAAAACTTCTCCCATTTTTCCGGAATCGGCCAGTGATTTTGGTAATTTTTATAATTTTTAGAAAATCTATACTTCAAGCAGAATATTTCGTAAACCTTGCTCCTGGACTGTAAACACCCTATATTTTTCGAATCAGAACGTCGAGATCTACATTCATTTCACCTTCGAGAATTACCAACAAATATCTTTTGGTGACTTCAATTGCCACAATTTTTGCAAAATTGCCAATTTAAATTGTCTGTTTTCAAGATTTTTTAAAAAAATTTTCTTAAACCAAATATTTCGTAAGTCTTGATCTGAGACACTAAATACGCTATATTTTTCGAATAGGCACGTCCCAAAAATGTTTGCGAATATTAATTTAGACGACTTTTCCAAAAGTTCAATTTTTAATTTCCTATACAAATTTCGATTTTTTTTGGACCAAATTCGAAAATTAACCAAATTCATTGTTTTGTATATTTCGACCTCCAGAAGTTACTTTCGGTTTCGTTTCTTCGAAAACTATGATTTTGGTCATTTTTGGTATTTTTAAGTTATTATTAATTAAAAAAATGCCGTTAATCGCATATGATCGAAAAAAATGAATTAGAACAGACCGCGAAAACAATTTTTAAGTTAGCATCAAGGACTAATTTCATTGAGATTTCATCACCGTTCATATAACGGGGTCAAATTTCCCTAAAAACCAACGCCAGCCTGCGATTCCTAATTAGGGACTGTTTTCATAACTTGTCCTAATTCCCTTTTTTACAAGATACGATATAGCAACGTACTAATGCCCCCCAATTAAAAACCTCTTATTTTCCCGTACCTCACCATCTCGCCTCATAAGCGAGATATTGTCGAAAGCCATCCTACACCGGTTTTGTCCTCACCTTTGGCCCTCGTCCTCGGCGTCTCGCCGTACCCTTGCGCCCCCTCCTTCTCTCCGTTCTCCTCCTTGATGAGCTTCGGCTCCATCCCCTGTAAAAAACGCCACGTAAACTACATATTAATAAGGAAAAATGTGTAAAAACGCGTCGCCCGCCGGCAGAGATTTGCAATTTGGAGTCCGATGGCGATAATTAGATTTTAACCGTCAGATGGCCCGGTCGGTATTCTAAACACGATGACGTCATAAAACAAAAATCACTGGTGCGTCGTTCTCTTTCTGACGCGCATCTGTCCTAACTAGAAAAACGTGACGCACATCGTAATTGCCAATTATTAAATGGCGACGGCAACGATACGATGATGAAATTTTGCAATATGCCGCATCTGCAGCTATAGGATTATTTATTTTTGATACCGCAAATGCATAGTTGCATGTTAAATATCAAACGGGTTGTGTTTGCGCGCTGGGAAGCGAGCTATTCCTGGGCGAGGACGAGATGGAAAATTGGAAACTGAACGTCTGTATACTGCTGGGAGTGCTAGGGGAGAGGCCGGAAGACGAGGAAACGATTGAGACGCCGTGGGCATGGGGGCTGTAGCGCTAATGGGCTTGCAGAACGTAAAAACTGGGGTTAAGTCCGAACGAGTGACAGAGGGGAAGCGCCACAAAGTTAGTATAGTTGGAAATTTTTTTGATGACCAAAATACACCACTCGTAAAATTTGGAGGTCACTAAAATAAGTCGAAATTCTAAAAAATCTTCAGTTTTTCGAAAATTAATAGGTTTTTCGAATACTGTTTACTTTAGGCTAATTAGTTAAAATATATTCATTTACGACTAAATTCAACTTTGATGTGACGAATTTGGTCAGGTCAGGTCAGGTCGGGCCAGTAAAGTCAGGTCTGGTTAGGTCAAGTCAGGTCAGCTTAGGTCAGGTCAGATCCAGCTTCGAAAATTACATGAAGAAATTATTTTTTTTAATTCAACTTCGAGAAATTGTTGTCGTTTCTATTTCTTCAAAGATTCCTACCATTTTGACAGAATCGTTAACAAGTATAGCAATTTTCAAAGATCTATATCCCAAAATTTTAGACCACTTTTTCAAAAGCTCAATTTTCAGTACATTATGAAAAGTTCGAATTTTATTCCATCACCTTCGAAAATTATCTAAAGTCCAGTTACTTTCGGGGTAATTCCTTCAAAAACACCCACCATTTTCCCAGTATCGCCCACTGCATTATTGTAGTGTTCGTAAATATTTCGTAAATCTTGCTCCTGGACCGTAAATACATCACATTTTTCGAATCAACACGTAAAAATCTATGCCCAAGAATTTTTTGAGAATTTTCAGGCAAACTTTCCAAAAGCTCAATTTTCTTAGTATGTATAACTTTCAAAAATTTCGATTTTTTTGGACTATCTTCGGCAACTATTTAAAGATTTTTTTTTTAGATTTCGATGTCCACAAATAATTTTCGGGATCATCAATATTGCGGATTTTTGGAAAAATTGTCTTTCAAACCAAATATTTCGTAAAACTTGCCCACGAGCCGTAAACATGTTACATTTTTCAAAACAGCACGTCGAGATTTACACCCCAGAATTTTTTGTGGATTTTTGGGCAACTTTTTCAAAAGTTCATTTTTTTCAATATATTAGTAAAATTTTTATTTTTTTCTCATCACCTTCGAGAATTACCTGAACATATTTTTTGGTTGATTTCGATCCCCAAAAGTTGTTTTCAAAATTGCCAATTTTCAAGATTTTTAAAAATTATGTTCTTCAAACTAAATATTTCGTAAATTTTGAACCGCTATATTTTTTTAATTAACATATGCAGATCTATTCCAGAATTTTTTTGGATTTATGAAAATTTTTTCTAAAAATTCATCTTTCAAATGTAATATTTCGTAAATCGTACTTCGGAATCGTAAACACGCTATATTTTTTTAATCAGCACGTGGAGATCTGTAACTCCGATTTTTTTGTGATTTTTTAAACAACTTTTCCAAAAGCTCAATTTTGAATTTACAAAAATTTCTAATTTTTTTTTTCGAAAATTCGAATATTACCCAAAGAGATTAATTATTTTGTAGATTTTGCAGGAGTGACTTACGGCCCAATTCTTCGAGATCTACCATTTTTACAGAATCACCCATTTAATTATGGTAAAGTTTAAGATATTTAAACCATTTTAATTTCAAACCAAATGTTTCGTAAAATTTGCTGCGGAACCGTAAACACGTTATATTTTTCAAATCAACAAGTCGAGATTAAATATTCCAGAATTTTTGTGGATTTTTGGACAACTTTTCTAAAAGCTTAATTTTTCAGGACCTTACTAAAATTTCTATTTTTTTTTTTACCACCTTCGAGAATTACCTAAACATATTTTTTCGACGGTTTCGATACTCAAGAATTCTTTGAAACCCCCTATTTCCAAAATTGTCAATTTGAACTATGGCAATTTTCAAGATTTTTAAAAATTTTGTTGTTCAAACAAAATATTTCGTAAATTTTGAACCGAGATCGTACACGTTATATATTCTTAATCAACCTTTCGACATCTATTTCCCAGAATTTTTTTGAATTTTTAGAACAACTTTTCTAAAAGATCAATTTTTCAATTTCTTGTGAAAATTTCGAAATTTTTTCAACCACAATGGAAAATTACCTAAATAGATTTTTTTCTAGATTTCGACGTCCAGAAATTAACTTTCGGTTTCATTTCTTAGAAAACTGCTCCCATTTTTCCAGAATCGTCAAATGAAATACAGTGTTTGAGGATTTTTAAAAATTTTATATTTCAAACCTAATATTTCGTAAATCGTGCCCCGGACCCATAAACACGCTATATTTTTCGAATCAACACATGGAGATCTATAGCCCAGATTTTTTGTGATTTTTTTAAACAACTTTTCCAAAAGCTCAATTTTTCAATTTACGAAAATTTCGATTTTTTTTTTTTTGAAAATTCGAATATAATCCCAAAGAGATTATTTTGTAGATTTCAGTTTCCATAAGTGACTTGAGGCCAAATTTCTTAGAAGTCTCCTACCATTTTTTACAAAATCACCCATTTAATTTTGATAAATTTTAGAATTTTTAAAAAATTTGAATTTCAAAACAAATATTTCGTAAAACTTGCTGCGGAACCGCAAACACGTTATATTTTTCAAATCAGCACGTTGAGATTAAATATTCCAGAATTTTTGTGGATTTTTGGACAACTTTTCTAAAAGCTTAATTTTTCAATACCTTACTAAAATTTCTATTTTTTTTCGACCACCTTCGAGAATTACCTAAATATATTTGTCGACGATTTCGACCCTCGAGAGTTGTTTTCAATTCCATTTCTTCGAAAATTCCACCCATTTTTCCAAAATTGATGTGAACTATGGCAATTTTCAAGAATTTTAAAAATTTTGTTGTTAAAACAAAAAATTTCGTAAATTTTTAACTAGGACCGTACACGCTATATTTTTATAATCAACCTGTCGAGATCTATATCTCTTTTTTTGGATTTGTGGACAACTTTTGCAAAAGCTCAAATTTTTCAATTTACGAAAATTTCGAATTTTTGTCAAAAATTCGAATGTTACCCAAAAAGATTATTTTGTAGCTTTCGATTTCCAGAAGTGACTTGCGACCAAATTTCTTCTAAATCTCATACCATTTTTACAGAACCATCCATTTAATTATGACAAAATTTAGGATTTATAAAAAATTGAATTTCAAATCAAATATTATTTCGTAAAACTTGTTAGGGAACTGTAAACACGTTACATTTTTAAATCAACACATCGAGATTAAATATCTCAGAATTTTTGTCTGCATTTTTATACAACTTTTCCAAAAGCTCACTTTTCAGTACCTTCTAAAAATTTCTATTTTTTTTTCGACCACCTTCGAGAATTACCTAAACATATTTTTTCAGTAATTTCGACTCTCTAGAGTTTTTTCAACTCCATTTCTTCAAAAATTCCTACCATTTTTCAAAAATTGCCAATTTGAACTATGGCAATTTTTAAGATTTTTAAAAGTTTTGTTGTTCAACCAAATTTTTCTTAAATTTTGAACCAGAATTGTACACGCTAAATTTTTTTAATCAGCCTGTCGAGATCTATATCCCATTTTTTTTTTAATTTTTAAACAACACTCAGTTTTTCAATTTACGAAAACTTTTTGTAGATTTCGACTTCCAGAAGTAACATGCTGCCAAATTTCTTCGAGGTCTCCTACCATTTTTACAGAATCACCCATTTAGTTATGGTAAAATTTAGGATTTTTAAAAAATTTTAATTTCAAACCAAATATTTCCTAAAACTTGCTGCGGAACCGTAAACACGTTATATTTTTCAAATCAGCACGTTGAGATTAAATATCCCACAATTTTTTGTGGATTTTTGAACAACTTTCCAAAAGCTCAGTTTTTCAGTACCTTACAAAAATTTCTATTTTTTTCTCGACCACCATTTTTCTGACGATTTCGACCCTCAAGAGTTGTTTCCAATTCCATTTCTTCGACAATTCCAACCAATTTGTAAAAAACTATATCCTAGAATTTTCTTTGGATTTTTAGACAACTTTTCCAAAAGCTCCAATCCTAAAAATCGTACTAAAATTTCTAACCACTTTTTTTATGATTTCAACCGTCAGGAGATATTTTCAACCCCGTTTCTTCAAAAATTCCTACCATTTTTCCATAATCACCCAATGAATTAAGGTAATTTTCAAGATTTTTAAAAATTTTGTTTTTCAAACAAAACATTTCGTAAATTTTGACTCGGAACAGTAAACATGCCATATATTTTTCTAATCAAGTTGTCAAGAACTATATTCTAGATTGTTTTGGATTTTTAGACAACTTTTCCAAAAGCTCCGATTTTCAAAATCTTACTAAAATTTCGAATTCTTTTGACCACCTTCGAAAATTATCTAACCATTTTTTGTTGATGATTTCGACCGCTAGGAGTTATTTTCGACCCCATTTCTTCAAGAATTCTTACTATTTTTCCAGAATCACTCATTTGATTATTTCAAAATTTTGAATTTTAAAAAATTTTAATTTCAAACCAAATACTCCTAT